TATCTGTTTCCAATTTTCGGCGTAATATGCTGTTTGATCTTTCTCTTTTTGTTTGGCTTTGAGGATTCCAAGTGAGGGCTTGCCTTGTGACGCACTTGGGTGTTTTCCTCGATGTGTGTCATATCCATTTTCAGAGCTTCTGTCTGATTTGTTCCTTCGCTGGAATCTGGTTTGTTATCTCTCACAGTAAATTGTTGCCGGGTTCGAGTACCAAAGTGAACATCAACTTGGATACGTGTACATCTAACTGATGAGCATAGAATAGAGAGTAACACATATCCTGGATTCTATTGTTAAACACTATCCATCTCTTCTTGTATTGTTTCAGATCGCTTTGTGATAATGTTAAATATATGAGATATGTGGAGCGACCGAGTGGAATCCAACATACTATAGTATCCAGCTATAAATGAAAACGTTTAATCTCAATATGAACTGAAGTTTATGCTTCAAATGAGTTAACTATAAGAAATGAAGATATTGCTGATACATTTTAATGCTAAATCACCAGAACTCATATGTTAAACATCTTATTGTTGTAATTTCAATTTGGAAATTGGATTTTCTCGTTTACACGCTAAAGCACCTACTCTTACCCTTATTTCCAACTTCACAGGATCCCAACTTATCATTGGTTGGTTGTCTTATTTAAAATACTGAAGTGCTATGCAAGCCCATTTGAGTCACATTTTGACCTTGTTAATTATTCGCTTGTCAAATGAGCATATGTGTGTGCAGTTTTTATCCTACTCATCAAATATCTGTAATTTAGTTTTGGTCTGACAACTAATATCGCTTAACGTTTGGTTGAATGGAGTTGACTCACTTACCTTCTCCACCGAACGTTGTTTCGCTTTGCTCTCTATTCTTTGCTTCTCTGATCGTTTATCTGAAGGATCAATGACTGTATGAAACATACGTATTCGAAATCTGCTCTTTTATTTGAATTATTTATTTCTTTTCTTCATCAACGCGAGTTAAGTTGACGATTATATACGAAGATTGACGTCATTGTAACAGTCAATCATACAATCCGATTGGAGTCAGCTCTTGGGCCACTGAAGTAATGAGCTCGTCATGAATATCATTGTAAAATCTTATTTGAGTCAAAATAATGAGCCACCAAAATGTCATTTTGTGACGATTCTCAGGGACGTTTTTGTTTTTTATATTCACGTTCACCTGGCTGTTCTGTACCTGTTGAATCCCGATAAGAATAATCAGTGGTAATTTTTTGGGATCTATTTGTGGAACAATACTAAACGCAGATTTCTATTGTATACTTATTAAGTAACTAAACTATGCATATTCATATTCCTCTTACTGTAAGCTCTATTTAGACCCATTAACTATTATTATACGTTTTATCACTCTTGAATGATGCCCTGTCTATTAGTCACTGCCTCACACATACACAGCCACATTTGGCTAAATCTTGTACAAATGTTGTTTCCTATTTTATTCGTACGATGTAGTCTGTTTGCTTGGTATATAAACCCAGTATATTTGAAATATATGATTCATATTGCAGAGGCTGAGATTAGCGTTCTCAGCTTAACTGGCTAGGCTAGGCGGAAAGCAGGACCAATTAAGACTCCAGGCTGCTCATACGGGTTTACGCGTCATTGATCTGATCGAAATGTCACTGCTCTCTAATCGGCGGTCACAAGATATAATTAAATCATACGCAGGAACAAATGCATGAGTGTGACTCAACATACACATATGGATATGTAGGATCATCAATTACAGCATGGAGAAGAGCGATCAATTCATACTTGATGTAGACTCGCTGATAGAAGTGGTCTGTCACGTACCTCAGAAGCATCATTGATGAACAAGGAACATCGGATGAGAATGCAAAGGCGCGGATTGACAAATCAAGGACAGCATTCTTACAGTTGAAGAACATATGGAACTCAAAACAATTGTCAACCAATACCAAATTCACAATATTTGATACGAACTTCATGACAGTTCTGCTGTACGGAGATGAAATTCGGAGAACTTCCATAACTATCATCAAAACGGTACAAGTATTCGTTAATGGATATCTACAAAAGATACTCAATGGCCGTTGGTGGCATACCATAAGCAACAGCCTTCAACGTGATAGGACAAAACAGAGAATTAGCAAAAAATGTTGGAGATGGATAGGGCATGCTTAGAGGAAATCATCAAACTGCATAACAAGGAAAGCAATAACTTGGAATTGAGATAGTATACAGATCAGTATAAGGCCGAAGAACAAACTACATCGGGAAATAGAAGCAGATTTGAATAGAATATATAACAACTGGAAAAAACTGGAAAGGACTGTCTAAGACTGATTTAAATGGCGAATGATGGTGGGTAGCCTATGCTTGTTAACGAGGCTTAACAGGTGTAAGTAAGTAATTAAATAATATATACGCTTGAGGTTTGTAACTATTGTTGTTCGTAGTCTAACTGTTTGTAGAATATACTTTCCCTCATCTGAACGTGAACTACTCTCTCTAGTTGATGGGACCTGGACATATTATATAATCTATTTTGTATTTCTTTCATTGATCCTTCATTCCATTCACCGATTTTATATGATCTCATCATCTCTTTAACCTAAATAACATTAACTATGACATTGTTTATCGGATTCAGTAATTATACGTTCGTACCTTCTTACTTACCTACCTGTTTATGAGTAGAGAATTAATCTATTAACAATACTACATTCAAAGAAATGAATTTAAACAAGTAGTATTTGACATTTTAAAAAATAAAGAAAGACATTCTGTCAATCATATGATATACACTTGACACTTTTCATGAAGACTATATCACATGAAAGAATAATTCATAAATACAAAATGTAATTACTTTCTTATGTTGTTTTCATATTACATATGATACACGTTTCGTCCCATTTGAGACTCATCAACTGAATGTACCTGCATTTCATAGTTAATATTCACTTTTAGACTCAAACCTAGTAGTGTTTACTTTCAACACACCATCATGTTATCGACTTAGTTTCTACTGAGTTCTGATATCCATATTTCAACTGACGAGTCCCAACTCGGGACGAAACACTCATTCTAGATTTCATTATTCGTCACAATCTATCTTTGCTTCAAATAGCTTGTAACTCAAGACTATATGAAAGCAATCTGAACAGGATGTATATATATATATAGCAACAAGAGACTAATCAATTGCGGTCCTAACACATCCAATGGGAAGATTTAAGTAAACACAATACCAAATGAATTATAAATATGATCATATGTTGATATTTACATCATTGTTTCTTTACAAGAAACAATTTTTAAGCAAATAAATTGTCAAATACATTTAGTAAACAAACAATGATCTATTATGCACACATGTGATGTCCCCCTTTCGGTTTTGAACTCTATATAAATAACAAACAAGTGAGTACACAGAAGTCATTTCAGAGAAAGAAGGATCTTACTTTTTCTTTCAGTGAAATGAATTCTATATCCTTTCTTATAATTCTATTCATTAATGGATGCATTATGATGAATAAGACTGAAACTAGTGGAAGTAAGTTTACTTTGGTAATATATTTGTTTAGTGGTTTTCTTCAATATAATATGCTTAAGTACAGTATAGAATCCTCAACATAAAGTATTTTTCAGTAGAGTGGTTGTGGAGTTTGTTAAATTTTTCCTTGAGATCATGAATCGTAGGTTAGGCGTTCGCATGCGAGACTGAAGGCTCTGGGTTCGGATCTCGCGAGCGGGATCGTGGATGCGCACTGCTGAGGAGTCACACAATAGGATGAGACGGCCATCCAGTGCTTCCAGGTTTTCAATGGTGGTCTAACATTATTCGCTTCATGATCTCAATAGAGTATTTTAACAAGTTTCCATTTCGTTCTTACTTCTTTGTTAATCTTGACGATTAATATTGAATGATTGTCAATTAGATGTTAGGAATTCAGTCAATCGACATCTGATTAATGTTCATTGTTTTCGATGCATATTGTCAGTGACTAAGATGTCGCTGATTGGGTTGATTTTGCAACTTGTACAATAAATTTCCGTAAATGTTTCACAAGCGCATAATGATGTGTTAAAAGAAACAAGAAAATAGATAACTTGTTGAAATATGTAGATGGCAGAAACAGGTAGCCCAGACATTCAAGCAGGCCACCTTGGGTGGATAACTGTTTTCACCCAACACGGATCTGACTTCACTGGTCATGGTTACTTGTATCATCACCATCATCATCGTTAGATGTGGATTAGTGGTCTACAGATGAGGCGTTTGTGCGTGAAATTGAGGTTTCTGAGTTCGAGCATCTTTGGTGTGGGATCATAGATGTGCATTACTGAGAAGTCCCATACTAAGAAGGACTGATCGTCCAATGTTTTCAGGTTTTCAATGACAGTCTAGCTTAGATTGACTTATGAATTCAACTAGAAAGAATATTGTTCTATCTACTTATTTCATATATCAGTCATCTAGGGAATGCTTCATGTTCAGAAATTGGTTTTCCTTTTAAATATTAAAATGGTATAATATTCAGACCGTAATGTATGTTCATTCGTTTATCGATTGGGATTAAAGCTAGAAGATTATAATTTATAGACGAACCAGTCAGGTATAAGAAAACAGATCTCGGATTTTGGCGCAAAATTCATTCATCCATTTGGATAAATCGAGTTTTGGCATGATAGCCGATATCAGTTCGTGATGAAAACCCTAAATCTAATTCCTAATCTTAACCATCAACTATTATTCATAATTCTTATTCCTCATACTGGATCATTTAACCGTGGTATGTAGGCGGACATTCTCAAAGTCACTTTAGCGTCGCTCAAAGATCGTCTAAAATTATGGTTTCACCATTAAAATCTATGTTGAATAATGGCACTATGGTGTCTAATAAAATTTTCTGATCAGATGTACACGAATGTTGATAACGGATACATTAAGGTTTACAAATGTCACTTCCTAATTATTCAACATATGTTACTCAACCATCTCCATTTGAGCTTCTAATAATAATAATATTACTACTACTACTACTACTACTACTACTACTACTACTACTACTACTACTACTACTACTACTACTACTACTACTACTACTACTACTACTACTACTACTACTACTACTACTACTACTACTACTACTACTACTACTACTACTACTACTACTACTACTACTACTACTACTACTACTACTACTACTACTACTACTACTACTACTACTACTACTACTATTACAACCACTACTACTTCTAGCTAGTTACCATGTGATTTATTCGCCAATGGAAATACGACTTATACAAACTTGGTACTCTACCAAATCAATGACACGTTGACCGGTATGAATATCATCTGTTTTTTTTAAAACCTTCAGCCGTAGGTAAATCGATAAAACAGACCACTGAGTAAGTGTAAAACATTTTAACTGGATTATCATATTGTTTATCTTGATAATTGACTAGTTGAAGTCAATGTCTAATAAAATGAATTGTGATTTACATTATTGATTTTACTGTATTTGAGATATTTTGGTCTATTTACATTTTATTGGTTGTGATGTATAAATATCCTTTAACTAGTCCAAGATGTCATTGTGTTACTCTTTTTTATCAAAGTAACTAAATCAGTCATTTGTGATTTATACTTAAAATCTTTCCAAGTTCATATGTAGATAAGCGATTGTTGATCATAAATCATAGTGGTCGAGCTTCGATTGACTCATGAACTTAATCATTGAAATCACTATAATATCAACAAAAACCCTTTTGATATGAATTAACATATGCTCACTGGTGACTGGCTTCAAGAGACACTGCTGGAGTTCTAGTGAGAAACAGCCATCAACCAGATCTGTTGTGAGATATCAGCTCACTGAAGACAATGCTGTACGGTGGCGCGATTTCGTGGACTGATTGAAGTTAAGCATTAGCACCGTTGGATTCTGGCTCAGTCGGTCAATGGTCAAGCGCTCACGCACGAAACTAACAGATCTTGGGTACGAATCTGGATGGGGGAAAGGTCGTGGATGCGCACTGCTGAGGAGTCACATACCAGGATGAAATGGTCATCCAGTGCTTCAAGGTTTTCCATGATGGTCTACCTTCAGTTGACTCATGACATGAAATAATGTTTGTATTGATTCAACACATATCAAATATTAACTATCCATCAATGCTTTCAACAGTTATTGAAATGGAGATTTTCTTTAATCGATGCATATATGTGCCTGGTCCCACGTTGCAGCTGACTGACTGAATAACTTAACGACACAGTTTGCCACGACGCGCAATGCTGACTAGTGTTGGAAGAAAGTTAGGAGCAACCAAATCAAAACGGTGGTATCAGTTCTTTAAGTCACTAATTTCTAGTCTTAGCCATGTTGATAGATGCAGACTACTTAGTTGTGGTTCGTGATACTATCGTAACCAATTGTTGGAGACTGTGTGACATGGCTCACAATCCATCGCAATGGTGTAAGTGTATACACTCATTGTCTTCCCTTAAACTATGAGATTTAAATCCCATCATATCGTTCTTTCTACGAACTAATTCTTTCCTACTGTATTATATTTTTATATGCAATCTTTCGTCTATATATTACCACCAGTGAATGAACTACTTTTATGAATTTGGTGTTCATCTTGTTGAGCTAGATGGTTTAACTGTGCAGCGTTCTACCTTTATTTTGAATGACATCGCTAGAGTTATTTGAATGGTAATCGACTTATTTTCAGGAGTAGTACACAACCACCTGTTGGTAAGTTCAAATTATAAAAGGTACACTTTTCAATATTTCCTTATTTTGATAAAATGAAAGTTGTAAGTTCAAATATCTGTTAATCACATAACCCATTCAAAAGAGTTTATAAAACGTTTATGACCACTTGCTGCATTACCATGAACAACAACACAACTTGGAAACAATCGAATGTTCATGAATATTAAATTACAGAATCTCTTAGCAAAATCTGAGAACTATACAGCAAATACTTCTTCTCCTAAATGTCAATTAATCGTCTCAAATTTGACTGTTCTTTTTGTAAACATCACACAATCGTCTCACACTTCATTGTTTCTGTTCCCATTCGTTCCTCCTGGATAAACGTGACCTGGTCAAGGAGCATAGGCTACCCAACAGTATTTTCCATCCATTCCTATCCTGGACATTCCTTTCCAGTTCCTTCCAGTGTCTACTCATCTTTTTCAAATCTGGTTTCATTTCTCGAGGTAGTTTGTTCTTCCGTCTTATACTTCTCCGTATCTTTTCAGAATTGCAAGTTATCGCTTTTCTTGTTATGCAGTTTGATGATTTCCTCAATGTATGTCCTATCCACTTCCAACATTTTTTGCTAATTTTCTGTTTTGTCCTATCACGTAGAAGGCTGTTGCTTATGGCATGCGGTCAACGGCTATTGAGTATCTTCTGTAGATATCTATTAATAAATATTTTAACCAGTTTGATGACGGTTGTGGTAGTTCTCCGAATTTCATCTTCGTACAGCAGAACTGTCTTGAATTTCCTATCAAATATTCTGAATTTGATACTGGGTGACAATTGTTTTGTGTTCCATATGTTCTTCAGCTGTAGGAATACTGTACTTGCTCTCTCAATCCTCATAATAATGTCTGCATCCGATGTTCCTTGTTCATCAATGATGCTTCTCATGTACGTGACAGAATACTTTTATCAGCGAGTCTACATCAAGTATGAGTGAGTTTATGTTCTCTATGTTGTATCTGAGGATCCTGCTTTTTCTTTTGTGTATGTTGAGGCCCTCTGAAGCAGATGCTGCTGTTCCGCTGATTGTCTTCATCTGAATTTGTTGGTGGGCGTGAGATAGAAGGTCCAGGTCATCTACGAATTCAGTGACGTATAGTGACCATAATCTTTCTACTTTTTGCAGATAACTAGGACAAGTTATCATCACTTTGAATTTTGTGTGTATAGTTGGGAATGAATAGCAACATTGAAAACAGATTTCGTAATTTCCATAAGAATATCCATTTTGCCATCACATCACTCTTAGTGTGTTTGATCCTTCTTCCATTTTATATTCAGAGTATAGTGATCGGATTCTGACTCAGAAATATTACTTAGTTAATTTTATGTTGGACAGGAGGAGTTGTGGATGCTAATAACTGTAGAACATAATGAAGAGCCTTTGTATCAGTAAGGTTCAACATTCACAAGGAAAAAAGGACATGCTCAAATACAACATGAAGTCTACCCACACAATTACACTTGATGAAGAAGCTCTGAAAGAGGTGGAATCTTGCGCGTACCTGGACAGCATTATCAATGAACAACAAGGATGTGATGCAGACGTTAAGGCTAAGACTGGCAAAGCAAGGATGACATCCCTACAATTGAAGTATATCCGAACTAAAAACAACCAACAACTAATACCAAAGTCACAACAATTCTATTGTACGAAGTTGAAACGTGGAAAAATACTACAAACATCATCGAAAAAGTACAGGCTTTTATAAACAAATGCCTATGATAGATGCTGATTGCTTGTTGACTGTATACAATCAGCAACGACCTGCTGTGAGAGAGAACAAACCCATTTCCGGATAAAGGGGAAATTTGGTAAAGACGTGAAAGGTCGATAGCACATACATTACGGACGTCAGCAAACTGAATCACGAGTCAAGCGCTAATTTAAAATGTTTGAACGAAACAGAAAAGATCATGAACATATAACATAGTGTATCGAAAGTTGCAAACAGATATCAAGAGAATGAATAGCAGCTTGCAAGAACTGGAAAGGTGAGCAGAGATTAAGTTTGCCTGGAGAATTCTGGTGGAGAACCTATGCACCTTGACGAGGTGTAACAGTCGTAAGTATGTAGCTTTGTAAGTATAATGACGGAGTCGTCCAAGACGTCCTTTTTCTCTTTTGCTTTTACAAAATAAATTAAAGAAAATATTTAGCATATTACTGGAATGAATATGTAATTGAATGATGGACGGTCAAATTATGGTTGCTTTTCTCTTTTGAAATTATTTACAGGTGACCTAACAAATTCATCAAGAGATTATACGTAAGTAGAAGTTGTTATATGCTTAACATATACACAATTACCACAAATATGATTGCCCCAATTTAGATACATGAACTTAAACGACGAACAAATGACGCTCACACTTGAACAAACAGCTTGGAGTCTCAATCGGTTATTTACCCTGTCTGTCAATTCCAGAATACCAATCTTAACCTCTGTGATAAGAATCATGTATTTTAAACATACTGGGTTTATATACAAACCGAATAGATTGAATCGTACCATAAAATAGAAAATAAAATTTGTACAAGATTTAGCCAAAATTGACTGTGAATATGGGGGACTGTAATTAATTGACTGGGCATAACTGAAGAAAGGCAAATCCTATTATAACAGTCTTCAAACGCAAAGAAAGCTTATAATAGGAGGAACATAAATAAGCATAGTTTAGCTATTTAACAATTAAAAAGTAAAATTATATGTGTCATAATAATCCATGAATATATCCGCCCTCAAATGACATGGTTCGGCCGAGGGTAGGGGGGAGTCATCTCTCCCTCTCGAAATTTTCTTACATGATTATGTGCAAACAAACACTGCCATGGAAGTCCTACTCACTATTTTCTCGTAGCAAGGGTGTTTTTTAGGAAATTGAAAGGAAGAAGAGCGAATGCCCGGCGCTTTAACCTGGTAGATAGATACGGAGGATCCACATAGGGGAGTTGGAAAATTCTGATTTCAAAATAACGTTGCACATGGGCTCCATGATCCTGAAGAAACAAAGGGCATACGAAACAATTATTAGTCAACGGCTACCATGAGACTGAATCTCCTGACGTTGCTCCATTGACTTGTGGATCAGATCTTTAGCTTAAAAGCTCCAGGTATGACTGCCTACGCAAACCACATGCTTCGGTCTGGGCAGCCGGGTGGTATAATTAAATCTTCTTAGGTTTTAATTTTCAAACATCGATTATGATGAGCATTTCAGAGAGAACCTATGATTAGAGAGAATCAGCCCGATGTACTGAGTGACAGTCATACATCACCAGTAGAACGAATGCAAAAATAGGAATCATTTAATGAAAACCATATAATCCAAATGTAAGACGCAATCAAAAGTTGGAAGATTTGTTATTCCGAATGTTGATGGAGTCAGAGTGTCATACGTAGTAAATACATTTACCCAGTGGCTTTTGTTTTCCTGTTTGCATGACATTTTAGTCAGTCTGTAATACGAATCATCATTGA